GTTAGCTAGCTAGCAAGTTAGTTAGCCTACGGGCAGCGGCCCAAATGCGGAGTGGTGGCTAGCTAGCGAGCTAGCTAGCCACCCTGTAGACCAGACGGACGGCAAACCAACAGCCAGCTAGCGAAGCAGCTAGCTGGGCTGTGACACTTGTGGCTATTTACCTAGCTGGCTAGCTGGCTGGCTAGCTAGCTAGCTAGCCAGCTAGCTACTTGACTCCATAGCTAGCGGCCCAGTAGCCTGCTAGCTACTAGCTAGCCGCGCAGCTGGATGGCTACCCAGCTAGCTAGCTAGCTAGCCAGATAGAGTGCGAGCACCTCAACGCAGCAGTTACATAGCTAGCTAGCTAGCTAGCTAGCCAGCTAGCTAACCACGTAGCTAGCTGGCCATCCAGCTAGCCACCCAGCTAGCTAGCTAGCCAGCTAGCTAGCTGGCTGGCTAGCTAGCTAGCTAGCTAGCTAGCTAGCTATCTGCGGGGCAGCTAGCTAGTCAGCTAGCTGCCAGCGCAATGAGACCTCGAGGAAGGCTCCGATTTGTTGATGAAATTCTGTCGGCAGTTTTTTGAAGAGCAACTTCTCGAGTTGCCTTTCTTTAAGAAATCAATGCAACCAATTAAATAATTAAATAATTAAATAATTAGTAAATTAAACAATCAAATAATTGAATAATCAACTAATTAAATAATTAAATGGTAATAGTAGTAATAGTACTAATACTGGGAGTAATAGTAGGCCTCTGCAGCAGCAGCAAAGCCTGCAGCAGCACTTTCAAAAAAGAAAATAATAAAAATGATAAACGCTAATAAGTACTAATAACTAATTATAATAATAAATAATAATAGTAATAAATAAAGTGGCGACAGATGGTGCGGTACAAAAACATACTAATAAATACTAAGTAATACTAAAATAATAGTACTACAATAGTATAATAATGATAGTAATAATGGCAATAATAATAATAACAATGATAATAATAAATACTAATAAATAGTAATTGATAATAATAATGCAAAATAATAATAATAAATCAATAAAACAATAATAATATAAATATCGAAACTACTAAAGCGGTGAAAAGAATAAATTCGAGAAGTCGAAGTCATCCATCGGCGCCCTGAAGGGCGGCAGCAAATCAAAAGCAGCAGCTGCAGCAGCAGCTGCAGCAGCAGCTGCAGCAGCAGCCGCAGCAGCGGCTACAGCAGCAGCGGCTACAGCAGCAGCGGCTGCATCATCAGCAGCCGCAGCAGCAGCTAGGGAGCAGCAGCTGCAGCAGCAGCTGCAGCAGCAAGAGCTGCAGCAGCAGTAGCGCTGCCAAGCTCCACACTGTGTTGTTTCTTTTATCTTTTTGCTCGTTGCGCAGCTGCAGCAAAAAGAAAAAAACAATTTGCTGCCTCCTCTTCTAGAATCAGAGTTTAGAGTTTAGCGCCGTAGTCCTAAACCCTGAATTAGGGTTTAGGGCGAGTCGAAGAAAATAAATTAACACACTTTGAAGGCTTACGGCCCAGAAAGGGTTCAAGGTTTAGAACGAGGGTTAGGGTTTAGAATTAGGGTTTAGGGTTTAGAATTAGGGTTTAGGGTTTATGGTTTAGGGCAAACTCACCAGCCTGGGAGACAGCAGCGCTGATGTGGGCAGCAGCAGCAGCTGCTGCTGCTGCAGTGCTAGGAGCTGCAGCAGGGCCCGAGCCTGAAGAATAAAAACAAATAATAAATAAAAATAAATAAATGGAAATAATAAAAATAAATAAATAAGAGTAAATAGCAAGAGAACATTGGCTTTTTAAATGCATTTATACTTTTATAGTCCTAGTTCGAAAGTGCAATTCGTTACTATTTCGAACTGCTGCTGCTGTTGCTGCTGCATTTGCTGCTGTTGCTGCTGCTGAGTAGAGGCCTGGAAGGAGACTTACTAGTTGAGTTCGGGGGGTGTGATTTTGCTGCTGTCGATACAGCTGAAGAGCCTAGGGGTGCTGCTGCTGCTGTAGCAGCAGCAGCAGCAGCAGCAGCAGCAGCAAACGACTCTTTCATTTCTCTTTGTTTTTCTCTCCTCTGTCTCCTTCGCTCTTGCCGCTTAGCTGTACATACACCCCAGCGCACAGCACCTCTGTTCCTGTTGCTGCTGTTGCTGTTGCTCCTGCTGCTGCTGCTGCTGCTGAATTCATTCTGCTGCTGCTGGCAACATGCGTCAAAGTCATTTACTTTTGATTATTTTAATTATTTATGCTCATTTATTTTTTACATTTACTTTCATTTATTTTTAATTCTTTTCATTTTCTATTTTCATTTTCCATATTTGCATGCATTTTCAGAAAGTTGCAAGATGGAACTTTTAAAATAAAAAGAAATGAAATTTTCTGAAAAAAGACCTTTAACAACAAAAGAATAACAAAAGAATAAAGGATTTTGAAAAGAGAAAAAGACTTCTAAATGATTTAATGAACAAAGAAAAGAAATAAAACTTGTCTTCAAACAGACAAAAAGGACTCTTTAATGTTTTTACTGATAAAATGAGAAATATAAGAAATAAAACTTTGCAAAAAAGAACAATAGGTCCTTTTGAAGAGAAAAAGAAGAATAAAAGGACAAAAGTTGTCGACAAATGATAAAAAGGAACTTTTAATTCAAAAAAGAAAAAAAAGAATTAAAACTTGCCGACAAAAAGGTAAAAAGGACCTTCGTCGGGCTCGGCCTCGAAGTGCGCCAGAGGATTGCAAGAAAGAGCCGCGGGGCTGTTTGAGCAGTAAGGGTCTATTCCAAATAACTTCATTATTTTCTGAAAACAAAATAAAAATAAAACAACTAAATGCAGAATTAAAGCATTTAAAGAAATGAATTCAATTAAATCCATCAAGCACAATTAAAATGGCCTTTTTTCCATAAAAATTGGAATTAAATTCGCAAAAATACCTCAAAAATGAAGCCAAATGTGCAAAAAGAGAAAAGTCCAATCTTAGGATTTAAGAATTGAAGTTGAATGAATTTAAAAAAATCAAATTAATTAATTGAGTTTGAAGATAAATAAATTAACTAAACAGAAGAACAAAAATGCGATTAAATGGAATTAAGTGCAGAAAAAGCGAAATTAAAATGAAATTAAATATACAAAAGTGATAAATAAAGGAGTTAAATGAAAATGTCAAAAATGGAATCAAATGGAGAAAAACAGACAAATGAAAAGTTTAATTGGAACAAACAATGAAAATAAGCGAAAAACGAAATAATAGCGAAATAGAATAAAAGATGAATGATAAAATAATGAACAAGAAGAAAAGATAAGCCAGGAAAATAATAAAGAAAATAGAAGGAATAATTTGAATAATCCAATAGGCGGAAAAAGGAAAAAACGGGAAAATGAGAAATGAAACTGAATGAAATAAAATAAAACGAATTGAATTAAATAAGACAAAATGAATTGAATTAAATAAGTGAAATTGAATTAAATAAAATCTAAAGACCCACTTCTAACAAATAAGGGTTTTTGAAATCAAGAGAAGTGTCTATATTGGCGTTCACAGTAATGCCTCTTCGCTTCAAGTGCTGCAGGCGGGCAATTGTGGCCTGTAGAGACACCCGAAAAGCGGATAAGGAAGAAAATAACAATTAAAAATGAATAATAATTCCAAAAGTGCAAAAAAAATTAAAAGAAATGACAAAAGAGAACACGTAGGGGCCGAGAAACGCGTTCGGCGCCTTCGCAACCGGGTGTACACACACCCCAAATGTGCAGCAAGTCTGCACACATTTCACATAAATATGACGCGAAAGACAACTCCATTTGTTTTAAAAAACACTTTTTAAAATATATTTCACATTTAGATCTTCAGAACACTTCGAATTTTCCATTTTCCAAGAGAAATGGCAAAAATGCCACAGTGCCTGCGCTGTACGTACACTGCGCGCCTTTTGCCTCCTTTAAACGCATGCAAAGTAATAAAAGGTTTCCTCGAAATCAATCATGAGCTTTAAAAAGCAAATAGATCAAAAGAAACAGAAAATGAAGACAATTCAACTCTTCACCGCTGAAGAACTCCTGGAAAAAAGCCAAGGGCTCAAAGCCTAAGGATGAAACAACTGCAAGCACTGGCTAACTAGCTAACTAGCTAGCTAGCTAGTTACGCAGCTAGCTAGCCAGCTAGCGAGCCGTGTATTGTTTACTGGCCAGTTAGCTAGCTAGCTCCATACTGTATACTGCATGCTGGCTAGCTAGCTAGCTAGACAGCTAGCTAGCTAGCTGTATCCTCTGTATTGCCAACTGGCTAGCTAGCTCGCTTTGCACAGCAGCAGCAGCAGCAACAACTAGCTAGCCAACTAGCTAGCTAGCTAGCTAGCTAGCTGTCAGCTAGCTAGCTGTTTGTCGCTGCTAAGACTGCAAACAAAAGAAAAGCCTACTGCCATGAATTAAATTCAAAAGGAGATATTTAACTTGAAACTAATTTAAAATTAATTTAAAAGTAATTTAAAAATAATTAAAACTAATTTAAAATTAAATTAATTTAAAATCCGAAACTAAAATCCTTACCAACAGCCCCGGCGGCGGCGCCCCTTCGGGCAAACGGGCCATCAGGTCTTGCAGCTGCAAAACAAAAATAAAAATAAAAATAAAAATAAAAGATAAATAAATAAATAAATAAAATAATGAATAAATAATTAAATAAGCTATTTAATATATAAATAAGTAAATAAGCTTATAAAAGGGAATAAGATAGGGAGATAATAAACTTCAAATAAATGAGAAAATAATAAACAAATAAAAAAAATAAATCATAAGCAAACAATAAATGAACAGTAAATAAATTAAAAAGTAAATATTGAAACTGAAGATAAATTGGGGGCCTTCAAGCTGCCCAGGAGAATAAATAAACGAATAAAGATAATCAAAATGATAAAAAAACAAAAAAACAAATCAAAGTAAATAAAATAAATTAAAATAAATTAAAATGAACAGAAATACACAGAAATAAATGAAACAAAAAATAAAAGTTAACTATCAGGAAATCAATTTATAAGTTGCAGCAAATGAGAGTGGAAGAAGCAGCAGCAAAACTACAAAAAGAAAACAAAAATGAAAACACTAAAAGAATAAAAAATAAAAATTAAAACTAAAAATGGAAATAACACGAATGAGCAACGCGCATGCATGCACGCGGTGTACGTACACTGCAACGAGCACTTGCTGTATCAAGAATTCAAAAAATCAAAAGTGCTTTTAAATAATTAAAATAATGAAAATAATTTAAATAACTTGAAATGCAAAAGTGCAGTTTCTTTCAGGTCGGGCCTTCTTCGGGTGTACGTACACCGCATGCGTTGGCCGCGCGGGGTGTACGTACACCTCAGCGGCCAAAAAAGAAAATAAAAACGAAAAAGAAAACCTACTGCTTCTGCTTCTTCATCTGCGCCTTCATATGACTCTGCTGCTTCGGCCTCGTCTCCATCAGCAGCAGCAGCAGCAGCAGCAGGTGAGGTGCTGTTTCCTGTGGTGCGGGAGGAAGCAGCAGAATACGGAGAAGAGAGAGAAAGGACTTTGTGCGGCTACGAAGAAGCAAGTGATGATGCTTGCTGCTTGAGCAGCAGCAGCAGCAAGAGCTGGGAAGTGGAGCCTGTGGTTGCTGCAGCGCCCCTCTGCAGCACGACAGCCAGCAGCAGCAGCAACAGCAACAGCAGCAGCAGCAGCTGCGGCGCAGGGGAACTTCCCCTCTGGCTTAGCAGCTTCGAGGAGGACCCCGCTGTGTCTCCTTCAGCAGCAGATTTGTCTTTCTGTCTCTCCCAAACAAACGCAGCAGCAGCAGCAGCAACAGGTAGTATTCCGGCTCTTGAGCTCGGGGGTGCACATACACCTGAAGTTGACTTGGCTTGTGCCTCATCCTTTTTAAATGGCGCGCTGCAGCAGCAGCAGCTGCAGCAGCTGCCGCCTTTCTCCATGACTCCGCTGCAGCTGCAGCAGCAGCAGCAGCAGCAGGATCTTTTTGGCGACTCCCTTTTGTCGCAGCTGAGGGCTCTGGGGAGCCGTGACTTCCTGCAGCTCGACGCTGCTTTAGACTTGGACCTGCAGCGGCAGCAGCAGCAGCAGCAGCCGCTGCTGCTGCCGCAGCAGGAGCAGCAGGAGGACCTGCTGCAGCAGGGGCCTGCTGCGTCTCTGGAGCTGCTGGGCCGCAGCGGCCTGAGCGTTCCCTTCCGCGGGGGCAGCAGCAGCAGCGGGAGCAGCGGCGCTTCCGCCGCCGCTGCTGCTGCTGCTGCTGCTGCTGCTGCTGCTGCACCGCCGCGGCGGGGCGGCGGCCGCCGCAGGGGGGGCCCCACAGGCCCCCGCGAGGGCCGCAGCGACTCCAAAATGCTGCTGCAGTACTACATGGGTTTGGTGCGAGATTGCTGCCGCCGGCGAGATGGTGCAGCAGCACTTCGGGTTTTGGCAACAGTTCAGAAAGAAGGAAAAGTCTTTCCAGACATTCAGCTCCTCAACTACGTCTTGTTTGCCTGTGTCGCCAGCGGGGAGCAGCAGCTCGCCAGTCAGTGCCGCTGCTGCTGCTGCTGCTGCTGCAGTTTCAAGTTGCTGCTGCTGCTGCTGCTGCGCTTTTCGTTTCTGCGCTCGTGTTGCTGCTGCAGTTTCAGTTGCTGTGCTGCTCTTGCTGCATGTTTACTCTGGTGGCCGTTTGCGCTGCTGCTGCTGCAGTTTCAAGTTGCTGCGCGGGTCTGCGGGCTGCAGCAGCAGAACTTTGTGGGTGTTAAGCAGCTTGCTGCCGGTTTGCTGCCGCTGCGCTGCAGAGAGGCTCTTCAGCCGCATCGAAGAGGCCGGAGTCGCGGACTTGGTGACTTACAACACAATGCTGAAGGCGTATTCGTCTCGAGGGGAATTAGCTGCTGCTGAGGCGCTGCTGGAGAAGATCCGCAGAAGCAACATCGAGCCCGACGGCGTCTCTTACAACTTGCTGGTTAATGCTGCAGTCAGCTGCGGCAGGGTGGACAGGGCGTGGTTCTACGTCGAGGAAATCCAGAACCACCACATGGCGGTGAGCAGCAGCAGCAGCAACAGCTGCAGCAGCAGCAGCACGGACTCGCTCTTTTTTTCGCCTGAAAAGAAGAACTGTTTCCCTCTTCTGCACGGGAAGCAGCAGCGACGCTCGCGGGCCAGCCAGATCGGCCTGCTGCAGCTCGCTGCGCTGCTGCTTGCTGCTTGCTACTTTTCTCTCGTTCTTTTCTTCTGTTCCTCCTCGTGTTTCTTTGCATGCATCTGCATATTCTCGTGTGCAATTTTAATTGCAGTTGATTCCTCGTGGGGCTGCCTAGCGTTGGTTTCCTCGGTTTCCGTGTCATTCAATTTCCTGTGCAGAGTTTGGATTTTGGTGATCCCAGTTCTTTTGCTTGTTTCCAGTTGAAAATGTATTTGTTTCCAATTACAAATGAAATATGTCTCCCTTTTTGCGATGCTGCAGCCGGACAAGTTCACCGTCAGCGCCCTGGTGAAGAGCCTGCAACCTGGCCAAGATCCGAAACTGATTCGCCGCACTCTACAGCTCATGGATACAGTGGGTGGTGGCACTTCGCGACTTAGCGAAATTCATTTAGTTCTCCAAATACATTTCTCATTTTCAATTAAAAGAGTATTTTTTCAAGGTATTTTGTTTTTTTCACGTCACTCCGCTTTGGATCGTTTGAGATCTGGCGGTTGTCCGCGCCCGTTCAACCTTTTCATGATTTTCTTGAATTTCTTGGATTCGCCCCGCCATCTGAGTTTTCTGGCCATTATCTCCTGGACCTAACGACAAAAGTGCTTTCTAGTTCATTTTTGAAATGAAAAAACGCCGAATTTGGCGTGGAAATGGCTCGTTTCGACTGGGTTTCTTGCTGTCAGGCGAACGCGTGCGAAGACCTGATTCTGCTTTCAACTTGCATCGACGCGACGCTGCGGCTCAACGACACCGAACGGCTGCGGCGGCTGCTGCAGCGCTTCGAAAGATCGCCGCTGACTCTCAACGCCCACGCGTACGGCACCCTGATCAAGGCTTACGGCCGGCTGGGCCACGTTGACAAGGTCCGCAGCTGCTGCTCTTTTGCTGCTGCTCTGCTGCTCTTTTGCTGCTGCTCTGCTGCTCTTTTGCTGTTGTTTTGCTAATGTTCTGCTGCGGCGTTGAGCTTTAGAGATAGAGCCGTTGGCTGCTTTGCTTCTTTCCCGCTGCTGCAGCCGCGCTGCTGCTTCTTTCCTTTGCCCGCGTCTTCCTTCTCTTCTTTGCTTCTTTGTTCTCTCAGTTTCTGTCCTTTGTCTTTTCGTTTTGCTGCTGTGGCTGTCGTAGTCGGATTTGATGTGTCTTTGCTTTCCTTCCTGTTGGTTTCACTTCAAAGTTTTTTCGAATTTGAATTTGCACATAAGCACTTGTGCACTCCAGTACTTGTTTCGCGTCTTATTCCTTCTTTATGTCTTTCTTTTATGTTCTTTATTGTTTTTAATTATTTTGTTTTTTAGATTTTATTTATTTGTAACTACTCAGGTTTGGGACTTGTGGAGAGACCTGCATAGCAGGAAAAGCATCGAACCGACGAACTACACTTACGGATGCATGCTGGAAACGCTGCTGGTGAGGCTTTTGAAGTTTAATGGCATTTTTATTGAATTAGAAAGCATTAATTTGTCTAGTTTGTTTATTTGAATTCCAATTGTGAATTTCCAGCCATAGTTTCCTCTTTGCGCGCGCCCGCAGCAGCGCCGCGTCGCCAGCAGCGTGGCGGCTCACTTTCGTCTTAATCTTGCGTTCAAATTTGAATTTGAATTTAAATTGAATTAAAATTTAAACGCAGCTCAATTTTGTTGTATTAAGTTGAATATGAATTTGAATTTGAGTTTGGATCGAAGTTTTGATGCAGTTCAACTTTGCGGTTTTTGCATGTTTCGCGCGCAGTCGCACAACCTGCTGGCCGAGGCGAAGAAGCTGTTCACCTCTATGGTGCAGCAGCAAGTGGCGGACTCAGTTCATTTTTCAATTTTAATAAAAGGCCTCTCTCGGTACAAGTCCAGAGGCGTAGATGTGGCTCTGGAGGCGTACGCGGCGGTGCAGCAGGCGGCCTCCACCGCGGGGCAGCAGCAGCGGCAGCAGCAGCAGCAGCGACAGCGCCAGCCGCAGCAGCAGCAGCAGCAGCAGCGGCAAGCTGTCCTCAACACAATATCTCTCAATGCCCTTTTGCATCTCTGCGTCGTCAACGGCAGAACAGACGACGCGCTTCGTCTTTTCCGGGATATGCATGCGCAGGGTTCTGTGTTCCCTGATTTGGTGAGAATTACTTCTCTATTCATTTATTTTACTTTATTTTATTTTATTTATTCTGTTTTGCTGCATTATGTGTCATTTGCGTATCGGTTTTGTTTACTGTTCGCGGGCGGGGCGCCGCGGCGATCCTGCGAACCTGCTGCTGCTGCTGCTGCTGCTGCTGCTGCAGATATCTTTCAGCACCGTGATCAAGGGGCTTTGCTGCTGCCCAGGAGACGAGCCGCTGAAGGAGGCGCTGTCGCTGCTGCAGCAAATGCAGCAGCAATATCAAATAAAGCCCGACGCAATTGTCTTCAACACCTTAATTCAGGGAGCAGCAACGCGGCGCAACGTGCCGCTCGTGGAGCTGCTGCTGCAGCAGATGACTGCAGCAAATGTCCAGCCCAGCAGCTACACCCTTTGCCAGTGCGTGAAGCTTTACGGTGAGCCTTTGCTGCTGCTGCAAGTGCTGCGCAGCTTCTCCCAGCAGCAACTAGTCTGCTGCTGGCTGGACCTGACACAAATGTTAAAATATGAAATAAATGGAAGATGCCGCACGCATTTCATGTTTGTTGCTGCTGCTGCTGTGCTGCTGCTGCTGCTGCTGCAGGCCGCTGCAACAATCTGCAGAAGGCGTTGGAGCTGGCTCAGGCGCTGCCGGCTCGTTTTGGCTTCGCCATAGATAGTCATGCATACACTGCATTAGTTGCTGCATGCATTTCAAATGGTGCTGCTGCTCTTGCTGCTGAGCTGCTGCTCAAAGCAGCAGCACAGGGGGTGCTGCTGCCGCAGGGCGTTGTTAACAGGGTCTGGAACGCCGTCAACCAGCAGCAGCAGCAGCAACAGCAGCACCAGCAGCAGCAGCAGCAAGGCACGCAGGAACAGCTGCAGCAAGGGCAGCAGCAGCTGTTGCCCCCACTGCAGCAGCAGCTGCAGCAGCAGCAGCAGCAGCAGGATGGGAGGAGCCGCAGCCTAGAAGACATGCATGCTGTTTGCAAGGGCCTGTGGGAGCTCATGGGGCCTCGAGCTAGAGGTGCAAGCAGCAGCAACAATAGCAGTAATAATAATAATAATAATAATAATAATAATAATAATTATAGTAATGCAAGACAGGACAATGGCAGCAGCAAGAAGACAAAGAGAAAAAGCTGCAAGCATCAAAATGCTGCAGGTCTAACCGCCACCAAATCCAGCAGCAGCAGCAACAGCAGCAGCAGCGGCAACAGCAGCAGCAACAACAGCAGCAGCAACAGCAGCAGCAGCAGCAGCAACAGAGTAGCACAGACACTCCCCAATTAAGCCGCAGAAGGAGATACAGCGGCGGGGGGCGAGCTACTGGCAGGTGCAAGAACAACAGCCACTGCTGCAGCAGCAGCAGCAGCAGCAGCAAAAGCTGCTGGACGCCAGAGGATGACGCTCAAGCAGTTTGGCCAGAAGGCCCTGCAACACTTGCAGCAGCAACAGCTGCAGCAGCAACAGCTGCAGCCGCAACAGCTGGAGCAGTCATAGCTGCAGCAACAACAGCTGCAGCAGCCATAGCTGCAGCAGCCATAGCTGCAGCAACAACAGCTACAGCAGCAACCGCTGCGTCAGCAACAGCTGCTGCAACAGCGGCTGCGGCGGCTACAGTTGGAGTAGCAACAGTTGCGGTAGCAACTGCTGCAGTAACAGCAGCAGCAACAGCTACAGCAGTATCACTAGCAGCTGTTGCAGCAGCAACAGCTGCAACAGCAACAGCTGCAGCAGCAAGAGTTGCTGCTGTTATGTGTGTTTGCCATCTCCTGGGAACGTAGCCCTCAGCGTGTCGCCATTAGTGTGAAGGAAGTTGGGCACAAAGCAGCAGCAGCAGCAACAGCAGCAGCAGGTGCAGAAGCAGCAGCAGCAGGAGCGGCCGCAGCAGAAGAAGCGGATTGGTAGGATAGCTCAGCAGGAACACTGAAAGACACGCATGAAGAGAGCAGCAGCGTGGGGATGGCGCTGCTGCACTTGAGCAGCAGCAGCAGAAGGGGCAGCAGCAGCAGCAGCAGCAGCAGCAGCCGCGGGAGCAGCAGAAGACAGCGGCTGCGGGTATTTTTACGGCGCCGTCCGAAGCAGTTAAGGTGTATGCATGCCCGTTTACTGAATATGTGAATTGTTCTGAAATAAATAAAATTTATTTTTATTAGATTTATTATTTAGTAAATACATTTTAGTCAATGAACCGAAGAAGAAGCTTTGCTGTTTGCAGCACCTGGAAGCAGCAAAGACAGGCAACTAAAGGGCCGCGAGCCTGTTTCCAGCAGCAGCTGCAGCAAGCAGCAGCAGCTGCAGCAAGCAGCAGCCTCAACAAGCAGGAGCAGCTACAGCAAGCAGCAGCTGCAGCAAGCAGCAGCAGCAGCTGCAAGCATGAGCAGCCGCAGCAAGCAGGAGCAGCCGCAGCAAGCAGGAGCAGCCGCAGCAAGCAGGAGCAGCCGCAGCAAGCATCGGCTGCAGCAAGCATGAACTGCAGCAAGCATCAGCTACAGCAAGCATCAGCTGCAACAGCAGCAGCATCAGCTGCAACAGCAGCAGCATCAGCTGCAACAGCAGCAGCATCAGCTGCAACAGCAGCAGCATCAGCTGCAGCAGCAGTAGCAGCAGCACGCAGCAGCTGCCGGTAGGGTCTGTGTAAACGTGCAGTGCTGCAGAGTGATGTTCTTCTTTAGGTCAGTAGAAGCAATTAATGTATTTATGTGTTGGCTGAAAGTGAAGAATTGATTTATTCTAATTGAGTTAAATGACTTTAAAGAAAATGCATTGTTGTTTCAATTAACTTCTGATTGTGTTGCGCTAGTTGTGTTTTGTTTGCTGCCGAGCGGCAGCGCCCACTGCAGCAGCAGCAGCGGAAACGAACGGCTGCTGCTGCTGCTGCTGCTGCTGCTGCTGCTGCTGCTGCTGAGGCCCCGCCGCTGCTGCTGCTTTAGTTCTTTCTTGTTTAAAACAGCAACTTCAAACCAAATGCAGATGCAGCTTGTTGACGAGAAGAGGGATGCCAAATACCCATTTGCTGCAGCTCCAACTAAGTCCAATTAAATGCAAATCCAATTCTTGAAGTTCAAGTTTGCAGCAGCAATTAGTTATCAAGTTCGTAGCAGCAACTAGTGCAGCAGCATCAAGTTCGTAGCAGCAACTAGTGCAGCAGTATAAATGGTACCTAACTAGTCTGCAGCGGCGATTAGTGCAGCAGCACAAATGATTCAAGTTTTCAACAGGACTTCGTGCGGCAGTAGAAACGACGTAATTCGAATTAACTGCAGCAGCACTTAGTGCAGCAGCGTAAATGTTGTAATTCATTTAGCAGCAGCAATTGGTGCAGCAGTAAAAATGATGTGCTCCAAGTTTGCAGCAGCAATTGGTGCAGCAGTAAAAGTGACGCAATTCAAATATGCAGCAGCAATTCGTGCAGCAGTAAAAATGCGAGAAATGAAGTCGAGAGATTAAAGGAGGAAGCAGATATCCGCTTCGCAGCGTCCCTCCCGCTGCCAGCTGTATGTACACCTGAGCCCTTCTGGCTGCGAGAGCCTGCAGTCGAAGACGAGCTTCGGCTGGACACAATAAATAAAGTTGGACAAAATAACGGAAGCGCCGACTGTAGCTAAAGGCCGCGCGCGCGCAGCCGCCAGCCGCGCACTTGCGGTGTACGTACACCCGACGGCTCAAAAAATCTTAATTTTGCGCAGATGCGCCGCCCATTCTTTGGAGCGCGAGCGGCGTGACTGTGAGGCTTGCGGGGCGTGTTTTTAAGTGTTTTTGAATATTTGGAATTCTCTATCCCCAATAAACTCCGGAGGAATGTCTTGAATCCCATTGCGCGCGTTGCGCGTTGGTTTCAGAATCTGAATCTGGCGTTCCGCGGGGGCGGGCTGCGGCGTTTCGGCGAACGCCGAGTTGAACTTTCCGCTTTTTGTTTTTTTCTTCTTCCGGAGGGAACAATTTGCAAAAGTGCGTCGGAACCAAGTCGGAAGGCCGGGGAAAGCTGGGGCTTTCCGCGAGTTTCACTCGTCGTCGTTGACCGCGAACTCCTCCTCGGGCGCCGCCTCCTGGGCCTCCGCGGGCGCCGTGGGGTCTTCGAGCGGCGCCACGCCGATCTTCTCGTTGAGGGCGAGCAGCTTTTTGCGCAGAGTCCGCATGAGGCCAGCGAAGGCGCCGACGTGGGTGGTGCCGAAGACCTGCTGCAGCCCGCGGATGATGTGCGGGTGCGGCGCCTCGTACATGGCCGGAGTGCCGGAGTCGTCGAAGAGGCCCAGGAACCGCCGCTGGCTCCTGTGGGCTCTGTTGGCGAAGACCTTTTTGCATCTTTCTGCGAAGTTGGCGGCGTACTCGGCGTTGATGGCTTTCTTCACCACCACGTACAACATGGGCTCCCCCTCGCAGGGGTCTTTGGGCCCCAGGTCTATTTTCGGGAGTTCTTTAACGGGAGTTTCTTCTTTCTTCGGCTGAAACCACTCCATCAGTGCAGCGAGTCTTCTTCCCCGCGTCAGTCCGTCTTCGGAGACCAGCATTTCGTCCAAGTTCAGGTCTTCGTCCGACTCCAAGGGCTCTCCTGCTGCTCCCGCTGCTGCTGCCGGGCCAGCGGCAGCAGCAGCAGCAGCAGCAGACGCTTCCGAAGAGGACCCCGAGCTCGCCTCCGAGTCTTCGAACACCACGGAGCCGTCGTCGTCCTCCTCCGCCTCTCCCGCTGCTGCTGCTGCTGCTGCTGCTGCTGGGGCTGCTGCAGCGCCGCCGCCGGGTGTCCGTACACCGGAGGACGAGGAAGAGCCCGAGGACGCTGTCGACGCTTCTGAAAACGCGCTTTCCTCTTCTCCCTGCCCTCCCTCCTCACCCTGCCGCTGCTGCTGCTGCTGCTGCTGCTGCTGCTGCAGTTGTGTGTCTTCCGTTTCAGTCGGCGTTGAGTCGGCGGCGGCGTCTTGGCGGGCGTCGGCTTCTTCTGCAGGCGCCGCTCCCTGCGCTGCTGGGTCTGCTGCTGGTGCTGCTGGTGCTGCTGGTGCTGCTGGTGCTGCTGGTGGTGGTGCTGCAGTTTCCGTTTCCGGCGGCGCTGCTGCCCGCGCGTCCGTGCCCACGGCTTCCGGCTGGCGCTGCTGCGCTGCTGCTGCTGCTGCGGCTGCTGCTGCGGCTGCGGCTGCGGGCTGGTCCGCTGCAGCGGCCGCAGCGGCGTCGAGCTGGCGGACCTGCTCGAGGGCCTGCTGGCGGAGGCCCTGGACGCGGGCGATGCTGCGCTGGAGCTCCTGCTGCTCCTCGGCGAACTTGTGCTGCTGCTCCGGAGGCAGCTTGAGAAAGCCCTCGAGCTTGCTGCTGAGGAACCACTCCTGCTCCTCGGCCCAGGCCAGCTGCCTGCGGGGGTCCTGGGCGCGCAGCCGCGCGTCTTCCTCAAGCACAAGAGCCGGGTCAATTGCAAACTCCTCAACGAGCTGCTGCACGTCTGCGCCTCGGATGATCATGCGGCGCAGCCAGCTCTCGTCCAAGTCGTTGAGTTCCTTGCGGACTGCTTCGTCTGCTGCTTCGACTTCGGCGCGCAGCAGCAGCAGCGCCTCCTCGGCCTCGGCGAAGCTGCTGCGGATCTCGGGGTCCTGCAGCGCCTCGGGGGGGAGGGTGCCTTTGCTGTCGACGAGCAGCGCGAGCTCGCGCAGGCGGTCGTTGAGCTGCTGCAGCTGCTGCTGCTGCTGCGTCGGCGCTGCTGCGCCGTGCAGCTCGTCCGCCAGGTCCTGCAGCTGCTCCTCCAGGTCCAGCGTCTGCAGCTCGATGTTCGCCACGGCGTCGCTCAGGTCCTTCGTCCTGCGCTGCACCTTGGGCACGCTCGTGAGCGACGCTTTGTACGCCGCCAGCTGCTGCAGAGTCTGTTCAAGTTCGTGTTTCTGCGTCCGCTTTTCCCACACCTCCGAGGGCCTGCGGTCCGCCGCCCAGCGCTTCCGCGTCCGCAGCGCCTCCAGCTTCTCCACCTCCGCCCGCAGCCGCTCCTGCTGCCGCCGCAGCATTTCCGTCTCCGACTTGAGTTTTTCCCGCTCGCCTGCGGACAAGTCCTCCACGCTCCGCAGCACCCGCTCGTGCTCCGCCAGCAGCCGCTTCCGCCGCTCCAGCCGCGCCTCCACGGACTGGTCCAGCGCCTTCACGGGCGGCTCCTCTTCCAACTCCTTTTCCTTTTCCTTTTTCTTTTTCTTTTCGGTTTCCTTTTCCTTTTCGGTTTCGGTTTGGGTTTCGGCTTCGGCTTTCGCCGCGGGGCGGGCGGGCGGCGCGGCGAGGCCGGCGGCCGCAGCAGCAGCAGCAGCAGCAGCAGCAGCGGCGGCCTTGGCCTCCTGGTCGCGCTGGACCTGCTCGAACTCGGCGATGTCGCGGCGGAGGATGCGGGACTTGAGGACGAAGTCGCGGATCTGCTCGGCGTCCGCGGGCGCGGGCGGCGCGTTCTGCTCGACGCACTTCCTGTGGAGCTCGCGGCGGCGGCGCAGCGCCTCGGCGAGCTGCTTCTCGAGCTTCAAGAGCGCCTCCGCCTGCGGCGCGTCGCGGGGCGGCAGCTGCCTGCGCAGCGCGCGCAGCTGCTCGTAGCGCTCCCAGAGGTACTTGTGCTGCGCGGCGATGACGTACATGAGTTCAATGACCCTCTCGGTCTGCTCGTACATGCCCTCGCTGAGCTCGGACTCGCGCAGGACCTCGCCCTGCGCCTCCAGCGCCGCGGCCTTCTGCGCAGTCATGGTCTCGTACATGGCCTTCTTGGCCCTGAGCTGCTGGTACTCGGCGTGGAGGTCGGCGAGCTCCTTCTCGTGGAGGCGCAGCCGCTCCGCGAGGACGGGCGCGCGGGTCTGGAAGGCGATCTCGCTGGCGACGCGCTCCCGGTTTTCCTCTTCGAAGGCCTCGTGGTCCACGTTCAGCTCCTTCAGCTTCAGGTCGGCTTCCTCCCAGAAGTCGAGGAACTTGGCCGCGCGCGCCTCGCGGTTGCTGCGCTTGTGCAGCCGGCGGCCCGTGGGCCGCCCCGAGCGGCCGTCCACGAAGTC